TGTCTACAATAATAGCTAAAATTTTTGATATAACACCCCAATTACTAAAACATTTAAAAAGTATTTCGCTAATAGCAACCCCGTATGCAGTGCAGGAATTAGTTTGAATGCTATAACCAATTTTTGAAAGTTCCAATTAACATCAATAAAATGATATGTAATAGTCATATATCTGAGAGTTTGGTTTGATGTCCATAAATCTGTTATATAACACAAATTTCTTAGTGCTTCTTGAATTAATATATGGGCTTCTGATTTAAGGTTTTTGAGAATTTTCGCGAACTGTTTTTTTACTTATCATTTTAAACTATGGCTGTAAATTGCAAATAAAGGTTAAAAATCCTTTATGTTCAACCATATGAAATAGATATACATGCATAAGAATCATGTTAATTAAATCTCGATGACTTCTTTCTTGGGAAAATTTGTAAATTACAACACCTGATAAAGAAAGCTGTAATTTTTGTTGTGATTTGTCAGTTTTAATATATTTGCTGCATTTTGTATTTTTCATATAACGAATTAATATACTGGTCCTCATTATGTTATCATACTTTATTTCACTCTTACAATGTATGCATTGAGCATAATTTTCTAATAAAATCATAAATATTTACTATTTTATCAAATACTGTAAATAATTATAATATAAAACATGAACATTACTTTTCGTAAGATGCTCAATAAAATGATCATCCTTAAAAACCCATAATATTAGCTTGCATTTCTTATTACTAGTGCTAACATCAGAACTTTCATCAACCATAGTTTCATTATTTTCATTAACTATTTCTGCATTTTCATTTACAGTAGCTATTTCGGTACTTTCATTTACAGTAGTTAGTTTGATACTCTCGTTAATAGCTCTTTCTGTACTTTTATTGATAGCGGTTATTTCTGAGCTTTCATTTTCATTTTTATTAATAGGAGAATAGCTTTCTAATTAGTGCAATGATCTTATAAGTATGATATAAGTTAACTAAAATACAAAGATTGAACTCTAGCATATTAATAATTATACTGTAGTTCATTTTTATTAATATTTCCCAAGTTTATTCAACAAAATTTAAAAAATTGTTGCAACCTAAAAAAAAAATAAAATTTAATAACATGCACTACATTTTTCTTGCTTTACTTTTTCTTAATATACATACTTGCACATATTCTTTTACATCAGATAATTTTTTTTCTTTTGTAATTATAATATTATGCTTATTTAAAGACAATTTACAATAAGAACAGATTACTATATCAATTTCTAATCATGTCGCTATACATTATGCATCATATGCACTAACTAAATCAGAGCAAGCACTATTATTGCTGTTTCGAATTTCACAATATGTATAATATGAAGCTTTATTATGTCTATAAAATTATATGATACACAAATTCAAAAACGACTTTATTACTTGATGTTTTTATAACAAGAAAAAAGGCGTCAATTTTAATATTCAATGCTCAATTTCAGAAAATATTTTTATTCAATGATATCAATTGTAAAAGTGATTAAAATTATAATTTCTTAAGTTAGAGTGCATTAAAAATAATATAGCAATTTCACTTATATATGATTATACTATAGCAACTCTATCTAACCAAGACAAAAGAAAGAAATAATAGTGAGTGTATTATTAAATATTATAAATTATCATAGTATCTGTAGTTTAAATTTCATCACTGATCACGTTATAGATTTTAATTTAGAAATTTGAATAATATTTATAGCAATTTATTAAGAAACTATATATTTTCTTATTGAAGTATGCATATATATATAGTGCGAGAAATCTAAAAGTCTCAATCGCTTTATATAGAATAAAGATCTACTATACATTGAAGATAAACTAAATTTAGCGGCAGCTTATTTTAAAGGTTTAACAATGTGCATATGTAAAATAGTTGCTATGTATTATGTGCATATTATTCTTGGCAAACTATTTCTATATAAAAAATTGAGATACAGTAAAACCTCTATAAGTACACACACTTTCTAAATGCATATTTAAATCCAGGCTCAACTATATATATGACCTCTATAAATGCACTTTTTCTTATTGATCTGTAAGTGCACCTTGCTAAAATCTGAGTCCAAGAACGTGCACTTATAGAGGTTTTACTGTAATTTAAGAAATTTTTTAATGTTTATGCATTATTTCTGTATAATAAGATGGAGATTTTTAAACTTTCTGCACTATACTAATATTTCTTTCACGATTTTTTGGCAATTTCTTTTTTTAGAAACACAGCGCTTCTTTCCATAGGATTGGGCTGGACTTTGTAGTAACAAGGTTTTCTTTTTTAGATTAGAATATGAACCAAGTTCACAATTTTATATACGAATTATAGGATTACAATCTTGTCTCAAACCAGATATCTTAAATTATAGTATAATAGACATACTTTTCACGTGCCTGAGATATAGTGGATTTATCAAAATAAAGTGAACGTAGCAATATTAGGGCAATTACATAATACATATCATTTATATAATATGTGTCTCTTAGACTCCAAAAGTCAAGTCTTTGTTAGTGTTTAGTCTTATTTAGTATATTTAGAAAATGCGAATATATGCAAAGTATATTAATATGCATTTTTTTATACTATATCTAAATTAGGGTGTTCAGGATTATGCGATGTGAAATTATGCCATTTTTTCGTATCACATATGCTTCGCATAATTGAACAAAAAGGCATAATGATCATGTAGGTGGATCGTGATTAGCAGATAAGTGTGTCAAAAATAAAGTCATCCAGCTAATGATTTAGAAAATCAATGAACTCAAAATTAACCTATTTGTAATACTAATTTAAGGCACTCAACCTATAAAATACTACTGTTTACCCTGTTTACTAGTGTTATTAAAAAGAAATTAGGACTGAAAAAGATGAGAGTTTGAATATTTTCAAATCTGCTGATGCAGTAAATGCAAAAAGAACATATTGTATTAGTCATTACTATCATAATAAATAAAAAATAAGAAGTATTTTCTATTATCAATACAAATCAGTCCTCTTAAAATGCAACTTCCATAAATACATAGCTTTTCTAAATGCATAACCTTTCTAAATGCATGGCTTTGCCTTGACTCTAACTTATAATGATACTTGTAGATTTTTATTTATATACTTAAAGAGGGTTGACTGTATATGCTAATATTACACTGTTGAAACATTGAATATTGGTAACATCATAGCAAAATATGCAAAACAAGTATGTGATATACTTGGTAAAGGGCATAGATTAGGACTCTAAAAATATAAAGAAATATATTAGTGTGAATCTGAATTGAAAAAAGAACAGAGAAGTGACTGATTCGTGTTATGTCCACATGATCAGATGATTATCTATCAGATTTAAATCTCTGTAGATCAGGGATACAGTACTGAAAAGAATTTCAATTGTTACAAATAATTACCTTTACATCTGCAGGCAAGCCTACCGAAAAATTAATTTCAATTAATTTTTATCATATGTCATATAATTAAAATCAATTAAAATTATTATGAAATTAATTGAAACCCAATTAATGACGAAATAATTGCAATTAATTGCAATTAAATTCAATTTTTTGTATAAAGCAATGCCTGATATAATCTAATTTTTAAACAGCGAAAAATCCAAAATCGCATTTATTTGCTGTGATTAATGGTGGATATATATATAAGCAAATTACATAAAATTGTAATTAATTGACCAATTATGGCTGTACAACCAATCAATTAATTGGGTTCAAAATATTGCAATTAATTGACCTCACAATTAATTATTCAGTAGGCCTGTCTGCAGATAGTTAAATTTATCTTAAAAGTTAATTAGCAAATAAAAGTTTAAACTAGCAATTTTAGAGATACTAAACCCAGATGGGCTTAGCCAGGCCGAGTCTAATTTTAATAAAGCCCAGTCTGGGCCTGCTATTCTAGTCTTTTTTTTTTCCAGGCCGGGCTTGGGCCCAAAAATCTTTTTTGGGCCTTGGTTCGGGCCTAACAAAGCTCGGCCTGACCCAGCCCATTCCCATCCTATATAAGACCTGTGCATTAAATATGTATATATATATATATCACAATACCCAAACCTTCATTATATTAATATTTGTTTCCTGCCTGTCTGATATTCTTTCACTACCCGATTTTGGTAACACCTAATTAAATTAATTTTGAATCACTCAAGTTCTTAATGGTATTTACAGTTATTTTCTTCTGTTTAAATCCTGTTATTAAATCTAAATAATTACCATTTCCATTATGATTTTTGTCTAACTCTTCAAAAAATTCCTGAAGACTTGAAATTAAACCTAAGCTTAATGTAGCTACAGGTGACGATTTTAATTGTGATATTTGGGTATTAGCTTTACAAGTATTAATTATACCAAAGGTTGGGTATGAAGGTGGTGTTTCGATAGTGATAAGTTTATTTTTCTGCAAATAAGAATATTTATTGTATTTAATATTTTAAAATTAATTAATTTAGAAAATTAGTATTGTCGTACCCTTATATATAGTATAATATAAATTATACATATACATATATACAAAGATATGTAGAATATCAATACATACGACCAAAAATAGCTATGAAAAAATAATTCAATTATAACACTTACTATATTTCGTGCCCACAAATGTAGGCATGCAGGTATTAATGCAAGATGTTTATCATCTTCAATATAGCAAGACATAGCATGAATATTGTATTGATATTTGAATCTAATTTGTGTAATAATATTGGCTAGTTTGATCTCATCGGTAGTAAGTTTGGATTCTTTGGGTACAAGATTTGATTTTGATTTTTTGGTTTTTAATTTTGGTGTATCTTCATCCAAACTACTAGATTCTTTCTATAAATGTATATACCATTAAAAATATGTACATATGTAATTATTATAACTTATTATAAATGTATATACGTATGTACGTACCTTATTTTTTCTTTTTTTATTACTTTTTTTATTATTAGATAATTTTGGTGCAATATTTAATACCATAGATTTACTAGAATTTTATAATTTTTGGCATTCACTAATAAATGTATTATAGTCATATTTATCATCTAAAGCCATTGCTTGTCCATAGCTATTAATTTTATAAGAGACTTGAATGTTATTTTTATTGAAATCGTTATTATTAATACATTCTTGAATATGTTTAATTAGATTGTCTTGAAAAATGTTGAAATCGTCTGATTCAATTGTAAACTATTTTGTTAGTATTAGATCAGATTCACTAATGTTAATTATAACCTTAACTTGGAATTTAAATCCAAATTAGAATCTTCCTCTAATAAAACTGAACCTGTTGAAAAGTCAGAATCGTCATCGCTAACACTTATAACCAAAGGATTGCTAACACTTTTTTTTTTAACATGATTACTAGTACTTTTACTAGCTGAAGAAATATCTGTAGAACTTTTTTTAACACAATTATATTGTGAATGACATGTTGAACAAAAATTAAAATTAAACGATTGATTAAAATCACAGTTATGTGCGAAAAGATAATTACAATTTTGAAGAGATAGTTTTTGATTTGTTTGGATATTATTAGGATTGTAAATTCTATTAAAAACTTGTTGAGAAGTTTTATCGCAAGGTGGTTTTTGGTAAGTATTGCATTCGCATAAATCTTGAGTTAGGTTAACGAAACAGAATAAACAAGTTTGGCATACAAAACATACTCCAATTCTATAAAATGTCATTTTGGTTTTTTTTTTTTTTTTACACAGCAATTCATGACCATTAAATATTTATAAAATTCTATTATTAAAATATATATTCATTTAAACATCATCATTTACTATATAGCACTGCATATAGTACCCTCCTGGAATAGTATTTTCCTTTTTTTTTACAAGCGATTTGTGGTCCAGCTTTCATATTAATAACGCAATTTTTTCATTTGGTTTGATATGTTTAATAACAAAGTATATAGTGATTAGTAATGCTTATTTGTATTATTCTTCTGCCTCTCAATATTTAGAGAGTATTATTCAATCTAGACTGGCTTTTTTGTAAAATACCCAGGGTACTGTATGCTGTATGATAGTAATAGCGTTTTGGTATTATCACTAGTTTTTTTAAAGAAACAAACAGATAAAAAAAATAGTTCCTATTACTAAACAGAATTGCATAACAAAGAAAAACCAACTGAACAAAAATTTGCTACTAAAACCAACGAACAAAAATCTGCTACTATTACTAAACAGAATCAATATTATAACAGGTCACATGATAAAACTCCACAACTACTATAGAAATTGGTTGCTTTTGCATGCAGCTTTATCGTTATTATACATATGTAGAAATTTTTATGCAACAAAAACAAAAATTAGCTACTATTACTGGACAGAACTGTATAATAAAAAAAAAAAATAGATTAAAAATTGGCTATGTAATATTACTAGATAGAAAGCTATAAATTCAACAAAATAAAGCTATTGTAAAATGACATGTATAATGAACAGTGACTATTTACTGTATCCACTACCACCCATAGTTTAAAGTATCTTTCTTATACATTAAAGATTATGGATTAAATCGTCTCAACAATCAATATATAATTTGCAAACCAAGAATGATATATGTTAGATAACCTGCACTTAATATATCTCATTTTAACCTTGCAATAGAATTTTGTATGTATGTATACATATTTGTATAAATTAATTAATAGTTGTAAAGATATAATTTGATTAAATTATTGGAATTCAAATATTCATTTAGCCAATTTTTGGTATTCAAATATCTGTTAAAATCAAAAAAATAGCAAACATTTGTTGATATTTGAAGACTAACTAATTATTTAATATGCAGTATATTATTACATCTGAAATAGGAATGTAAAATTACAATACATTTGCATAATTTTATACAATTTTGTAATAAATTCTAGTAAATTTTATTGGCAATACATTTTCGCTTCACAATAAAGTAGACTTGGGAGAACATAGCTGGAATTCAACATTGTAAAATATTTGTCTCTATTAATCCCCTGATAAGTAAAATCTATAGTAATGATAAGAATAATTGACAAAATCTTGTGATTCTGTGTTAATGTAGTCTTGAGCCCTAATTGATCCTACTTACTCAGACCAAGTCTTTCGACGCTTCGATCGTAGTCTTATCACTTTTAGAGTATGATGAAAATTGACTTGCTTTGATGATCTAAAAACTGCAAAATAAAATCATCAATAATTTTTCATTTAAATTTAAATCAAGTTTAAAATCAACTGTTAACATGCCATCTTTATATTCACACTTAAAAAGGTATTCAGTAAAGTAGTATTATATGGCAGTATACATTCAGACGAATATACAAAAATTATACAAAATTTTGATAGTAAGTATAGTTAATATAAACTTGCAAAATTAAGAAACCATTTGATTGGGGTGATCGCTAGTATTGTCCTTTTTCATGTTAGATTAGTAGTAAAAATAGCATGGGTTTGGTGAATTTTTTTTTTTTTACAAACTGTACATACTATCTTGATTTTTTATACGTCTGTTCTGATTTGCATTTTTATACCATACTACCATACTATATACTCTTTTTTGAAACCATCAAAATCAATCTCTAAGATCTGTAATTTACAATAGCCAAAATCATTAATATGTTCATTAAAAGTAATTTTTTTAACACTATATATAAATGTAAAAAATACTATAAAGCGCTGTATTAGGTACCCTTAAAATAGTATCTTGAGCAGTGTTAAAATAATTTGCAGAATCGAATCTGTTACACTTTTTTTGTTTGAATTTTTATTATACTTACAAATACTGATTCCGGGTATATTTTAATAACATTACACAAAAATTCCAATCTTATATCCCACTATTCAACAAAGTATTATTAAATTCATTAATAGTACAGACTTTGTTACTATTATCTATAGCTTTTTCCCAACCCACTTCCTGGTCCACTACCTTTACCAATTATTGGAAACTATCATAATCTTGGCAGTGATGTAAGACCATTCTATAAACAATGCCAGGTGATATTAGTAAAGTGATGAATATATTGATAAAATTTTTGATCATAAAGCATTTCACCTGAAAAGTCTATATTTGCCAGGTATGAATGAAATGGGAATGTACAAATATAGAATCATTTTCAATAATGATTATGAAAGTTGGGGGTCTAATAATAAGTTCTTTATGGACACATTTGTAACACTATAAAGTCTGTAATTAAACTGTTTAAGAATTAAAAAGTTATTGACAGTCACTTGGAAATCAAAATACTTCAAATCATAGTATGCTAGAACTGTAATAATGGTATTTGTAACCTTTGTACCAAAGAATACTTCAGTGGTTTTCTTTTTTCTTTCATCTTGAATAAGGCCATATATGATATTTATTCAGGTATAAATTGTTTAATTTCTTCTATATATTCGACTTGAATATATGGCTTGCTGTTCTTTTCGATAATTTTAAATAACTAATGCTAATTAAGAATAGAAACATAAAAAAAGGTACTTAATACATATAATTTACAGACAAATATGCTTAAACAACCATTGATTACACAAAAAATTGAAGCTCCTTTAAGCAAAATCAACTGATTAATAATATGAGTCATCTATACTAAAAGATCATTGGTAGGAGGTCTTGCAAAGAAAGCTAATAATAATCTACAGGAGAATGATAAATAATTGGCAAATGCAATCTGCGAGATGTCAAAAGTTAAGGTTCTGCATAAGGTCAAAGCATGTATGCTATCCAAGAATATTAAAAAGATCTGAAACTAAGCACTTAGCATACCTCTATATCTGATTGCACTTCAGATTTATTAAAATCTACAATCAATGAGTTATCGAAAATTAGTTCAAACATGCTATGCAACTCGCATTTACTAATTTTCACCCACCTTTTCTATTGGTCGCAAGTAATCACATCTCTGATTAGCCAATATCACTAACGCCACTTTGGCTGTGGCTTATTATATATCTTTTGCATGCTGTTTGACAATCGGGATTAAGAGTCACGAGTTTACCAAAAAAAAAAAAACAGATCAAGATTTTTTTTTGACTTTAATTATTCGACTTTAATTATTCGCATATCTTGATTATATGTATATAAATTTCATTTTCATTTATATATTCTTTTTTTTTTAACAACATATAAAACGCAATTTTATAGCTACTTGGAGGAAATTATTCAGGAGAAATATTTCGAAAAATATACAAGTTATTCATTATAATGAACTCTCGACATAGTGAAGACAAATCAAAATCTCGATATAGTGAAGTTAAGTTCAAAGCCAGTTTATATAAAATTCTCTCATTATAGTGAGTTTACTAATAAAACTCTAATAAAACTCTCTATGTAGTAAATTTTTAACCAATTTTTATTAACAGAATAGATTACTTCATCATAACAAGAGTGATTGTACAATAAGACCTCTCTAAGTGTACCCCCTCGAGACCATAGTCAAAAAAAGCAAAATGTGTGCTTAAAGAGAGAGTGTATTTATAGAGAGCAAAATATATAATGCTCTTATAAGTTGGGGCCAAGTTATGCCATGCATTTAAATAGAGTTTATATAGTATATACACTTATAGAGCGTGCACTTAGAGAGGTCTTACTGTATTTAGATTTTATTATGAAATTTTTTCAACTGAGATTTTACATAATATATTGAAGACCAGTTTGTTAGTTAGGCTTATATGAAGAATTGCAGTTTTTATTACCAATAAAATAAAAAAATACAAAGGTATTTAAACTTTTATGGATTTAGTTACTGAAAAATAGACGAATTAGAGACAAATTATTTAATATCTATTTTGTTTTTTAAATTTTACATTTTTGGGTATGGCATTGGAAGTTTCTGCCTCATCATCATCATTATCAATAGTTTCTGGTACAGCATCAATTCTTGCTATTCTTACTCTCTCCAATTGGACGGCCTGTCGAAGTGTTGATCGTAAACTATGGATATCTTCATAATTTTTATCTTTCTATTCTGCAGCGATTGCTTGAAGCTCTTCTTGTAGTTTTTCAAATTCATATTTTTCTTTTTCCTTATAGTTTACAGGTGGATAAGAAGGGTTAGAAGAATCAAAAATTTTCATCTCAGATTGTTGAAATTGAAGGAGTTGATTAGTTTCTTCACTTTCTTCAGGAACCTGAAGCCGACTTAGCACTGCAAATATATGCTTGCAGGGCAATTGACGTGCTCTAAAATCATGACAACTACAGATGTATGAGGTAATATTTAAATTATCTTCACTATTATTTCTTCGAACCGAATATTCTATATCAGCATTAGTCATGGAATGAACAATCCAAGTATCTGAACTAATGCTATATATATTATTCAGATTAATTTTGTTCCTGCAATCTTCCGAATTCGTTGTTGTCATCGTCGTGGGTTTATTCTTCCAACATTCAGGTCATCCAAAAAAATAGAGAAATCCAAGTCCCGGAGAACTATTTTTACAAGAAGATATATCTCACCGTCAAGGTGCCGTTTAGGTCGTCCTCTCATATATACGTATTTCAACTTACAATGGAATGCTTCTATTAAGTTGTTGGTATCTATCATGTCTCTAGCAGTTTCTCTTAAACACACCATTCACATATCATATTTTGGTTTCCACCATCTTTCAAAATAGTCTACAAATTTGTTTGTGGCTTCAATGCCAATTTTTCGCCATCTTTCAATTGCCTGAGTAACTTGTTTTAACGCTTTTTTATCATTCCATCCTTCAGTTTTCATTAGCCGCCAAAGATCCTCCCAAATAGCTGTTTTATATAGATCTTGATTTGCACCATGATTGGGATTCAAATTTCGATACCAAGATCTCAACACATAGAAGTAGCACAATAATATAGTACTGTTAGGAAAATATTCCTCAACCGCTTTGATCTCTTCACCTGCGTCATCAATCATGAAGATATCCAGATTCCACTCCTCATGTTTTGCTTTTAAAAAATGAAGCCAATTTTTTAATGTAATTGACTTTTTAAATTTACTAATTAAAAATGCGACGGGATATCCACTTCCTGACGTTGGGTGTCGAATAATAAGGAAGAAAAGATGATATGCATGTTGATTCAGCCCATAAGTACCATCTAGGCATACGACTCTTGCGAATTTTATGAGCTCCTTTTGTTTTCTTGTTTGAAAAGCAAACATGAATCCTTTATTTTCATTACTGCCACGAGTAAACAAGCAACAACCACCAATGCAATTTAGTTTTTCTTGCCATTTGATTAAAGATTTTAGTTCATCTTCATCAAGGTAAGCACACGTTCTCATTGTATTGTGCACAATAGCATAAATATCATCTTTTGTTACTAATCCATCTCGTAATGATTGAATATTTGAAAGGCTTTTACTATCACTCCCTTCTTCCAAATGCTGCACGTGATCTTGAAGTTCAATTCCTCGGTGTCGTAAAAGTCCTTGTATACTATAAGTGTTAAGCCCTTCTAATGCGCATTGTCTAATGAAATGCCATATATTATCGGATAGAGGTAATATACATAAATCTGATATTCGGCCAGGCTGATAATTAGTATGTTTATAATAGTACCGCAAAGTAACTGTTGTTGAGTCAATTGGAAGTGCAACTTGGATGTAGCTTTTGCATTCACATTTTTTGTTTCTTTTTGCGCAAGCCATGATTTTTTATTAGAATTTTTCCCAGCGACACTATTGTAAGTTCCATAGCGATAGCAATACCATCACTCTGTCCATTTATTTTTTTTTCTCTAATCGACACCTGCTTTATGTTCATGTCGAATATAACTCAGCCCTGCTTTTTCAAGATTTTTTTGCCATGCTTCATAACTATCAACAGGGATATTATTCGTTTTAGATTTTTCACCATTTTGTGAATCCTGAGAAATATCATCATTTTCCATTTCCCATATTTCTCCAACACCATCTGTTGCGTCCATAATTCTATTAATGGTGTCATCTAATTCATGATCACTAATATTCATATCAGACTCTTCATTGATATCAAAGATCGCGTCGATATCAATTGGCATATCAAGCACACTAAGGGCTACATTATTTGATAATGAGGACATGATGAAGTTTAAATTAAGAAAATATTGTTAGATTTTGACAAGTTGAAAGAGACACGGATTATTTTGTTTGATTTTGACAAGTTAAAAGAGACAAATTATTTTGTTCATTTTTGATGAGTTGAAAGAGACATGGATTATTTATTTTTTTTATTTTATGGTTTACAAGAATTTGAGTTAGAGATAAAAGAAATTCTTTAGATTAATATCAAAGTGATTTAATGCTAAGCTGTTTCTTTTATAATTTTTAGATTAAATTAGTAAGAAAAGCCTCACCAATATAATTTATTCACTTAATGGATGAATTGTAAGCCTTGATATGCAAAGAAGTATTTTATTTTATTTTTTCTCTCCTTTAGTATTTAATCGCTTTATCTCATCCTTTTTTTTTTTATTTCATCACGAATTCAGCATACATATATTCAAGAATAATGATTTTATTATATGCACCGAAGAATTTTGTATCTATAGAATACATGTTTGAAAAGTCTTTCCTGCAAACGATATCCATTTGTAAGAGATGTCAATTTGATAATAATTTATTATACCAATATTAAATGTTGTAGCAATAGAAAAAAAAATTTTATTAACAATTAAAATTTAATACATAATAAAATAAATAAAGTTTAATTATACACATAATGCTATCTAAATGCGCGACTCAATTTGAGATATTCGTGCCATCTGTGAACATAATTTTATACATGTAGACGGCATTCACTAGCCAAATACCGTAAAGTCAATTGTCTAAATGTATATTAATGTAATGAATTTGTATGCATTTAACTGTATGTTAAATAAATATTAAATAGATTTAATAACAAATGAATTATTATTTATAAATTTAGTATAGATAGCGTCTTAGTGAACATAATTTTATACATGCAGACAGTATTCACTGCCAAATGCCGTAAAGTCAAATTGTCTAAATGTATACGCATTAATGTAAAGAATTTGTATGCAATATACATTTAATTGTGTATTAATTAAATGAATATTAAATAAATTTAGATAGATTTATTAAAGAATAAATGAATTATTATTATTTATAAATTTAAATATTTAATATGTATAGATAGCATTCAACTCTTCCCAATGATCACTTGTACCAACCTAACACCGAAAGCAAGTTAAAGATTCAAGC